TTTTTCCTTTTTCAAGGTTGTTGGAAGAACTTTCTTCGATTGGGTCTACTTCCATAGTGTTGGTCTGTTCTGGGAGGACAGTAATAAGAGGTTCCTTTACATAAGTAAGAGAGAGGTCGTTGTCTGCAGTTTGCAGTGTATTCTGTTTCTTTTTTGGTATTTTGTCTGATATTGGCGAAGCCGAACGGCCGCGGTTGGTATTCTTTCTTTCTGTTTTTTTGGGCATTTTTGCAAAAAGGGAGAAAGAGTTTTTTTTTAAATTAAATTATTTATAAAAATGGAAATACTATGTAATACATACATTAATTTTCTATTTTTAATACAACTTGTGCACATGACTTCTGGTCTAAATTTTATACACTGCCGATATGGTTATACTCCCAGTCTAGAAACGTATGGAATAATGATTTTGGGTAAGTTATCAATCACTATTATAACTTTACTTATGTTTAACTATCAAGCTAATTAGATATAAATCCAACAGGAAACGAAATTAAGATTTTCTCAATGGATCTAGGATATGATAGGCTCTACCGTTGTAACTTGTTATCAAAAATGTTACTTCCTACAGAAAATGCTAACTTTCTAACTATCATCAATGTAATTTCTACTTTCTATCGATTGCTGGTAAGAACCTTACTTTATAATCTTCAAAAAATTACTTTGTAGTGTAATCTCATTATTTTCATTCATGTAGGAAAGGATTAGATCTTCTATTCGTATCGTAAATTCACTTCAATCATTAACTCAATCATCTTTTCCAATTCAATCCTACCATTCATATTGCTGAAAATCCAATTCGTCCCCTAGGAAAATTCGTGTAGTTAGAGCTTAGGTGGCAAATGTTGAACTTAACAGTATTGTTATGCTTTTATGTTATTGTAATTACTTATAATATTTACTATTTACCTATGCACTGTACGTATGTATTTCATATTACCATGCAATAAAGCAATATTCACGATAATATCGTTATAATGTATTGTCAGACAAAATTTGCATTGTATTTTGATTATTTTTTGCTGTTTACCTTATACAGTATGTAACACATTAGAATAATAAGGTTTATATGCACATAGCCATATTTATTGTCCGGAGCGAAGGACTATAATACGTTTTTTAATGTTAAATGTAACCATGTCTCACACGGAGAAGTTTGTTTGTCATCACTAAAATTTTGTGTTACATTTATAGACAAGAATACAAGAATTGAATTATTTCGCTCTGGACCTCCATTTCCTAGTTATACGAACGCCGAAGTGTGTACTAACCCACACATTTTTGCGCACGATTCATTTTGACCAGGCTGAACAATGAAACTATTATATTGAAAAAATAATGAAACACAAGTATTTAAAGTTTTATCTTTATTCAATAAGACTGATTCTCTTCGCATAGTTTTCTCTTGAGTTGATCCTGTGTTTGTTATTTGATAAATTATTATTAGCCTTTATGAAAGAATTCATGGCATTTTTCATGTTGTATACCTTGTGGCTTGTACTTTGATTGCAAAGCCATACTGCGGATAAAGTATATCAAGTTCTAGTCCATTCAAATGTTCTTGTGTTTTTAAGAATTCAAGCCCGCGGGTTAGTGAAGGAGAGCCAAGATATTCAGTTAAAATTTCACAATATAATTTTTCTCTTTTATATTTAGGGCAGAATGAACACCAGGTATTTCGATCTTTAATAGCATTAAGCGTTGCATGCCATATATGTCCTTTAACACATTTCCATAATAGATCTTAAAATATGAGGTAGAGAGACACCATTTCGGCTAAATGCAATTTGCTTGGCTTGATCAATATCACAAGCATATCGCCCAGAACAATGAGGACACCATGAATTTGCATTTGTAATATTACTAAGTGGTGCATTCCATTCATAACCTTTAGAATAACGCCACAGTAAAGCTGTCATGCAATTTATATATTTTTCGGAAAGACATTTTCCATTTCTACTATGTGCAATTTTTCTAGCATTTTCGAGAGTATGTTTAGCTACACTACGACCTACACAGTATAGAGCATGGACACCAAGTATTGAGAGACAGGCATTCCACTCATGGCCTTTAGAGCAACGCCACTTTAAAGGAGTTATGTTATTAATATAATTATCAGAAAGACAAAATCCACTATACTCTTTAAATCGCATTGAGAATTTATAGTAAAGTTTTACATATATGAATTATTATTCAAAATCTGTATAAATTTGAATCTGATAATACTATAGTATAAATTGATAAAAATCGCTGTGTAAACTCTATAAATCGTTAAATAGTAAATATGGTATATTCTGACCCCTTGTACATTTAAGTATAACTGATTCGCATGTTAACTATGATCTTCCTAGAATGTGTGAGAATGAGACTCCATCAGATTGGAAAGATCGAATTTGGGACACATTAATGGTATATAGAAAAAATCATCTTTTAACTGATTATAATAAGAGATATCTTATTGTAAGAAAACAAACATATTTATTATATCAGTGTAATGTTTGGTTCGGAATAAATATAGGAATATGCTATTCTTGTGATCAGCTCGTCTATTCCAAATTAGAAAGCGGGTATGAGTATTTCTATGCATTCTTTATAGATAAGCATTGGCGTACAAAATGTACTGGAAATGAATATTGTGATATGAGCTTCGAAGACTATATGAAGCTGAAAAATAATCCTTCACCTTGCTATTTCACAAAGAAGGCAATCCATCGATATGAGATGTGGTTGTAAAATGTATCAAATAGGATTAGACGTATCAGGCAAAAGCATAAGGTGCAAAGTAATGTAAACACTATGTCTAGCAAGCCTTACTATATTTATAACCAGCAAAAAAATATCTGTATGAACAATACTTTCTTAACTCCTTTTCTGAAAAAGCCTGTCCAATATCAGAGTTACTATTCCCAAAGGGAATCTTGGATGGATAAGCCATGTTCATTGACCCTCCTTCTTTACCACCAAAACCTGTTGCATTAATGGGCGGTCTTGAAAGATACCCTATGCGACATAGTGTAAGTGCACCTGAAATTTTGGCCTATAGATTTGAGAGAAACTGTATCTTGATTGATGCTGAAGAATATTTTAATTCTGTTCAAAATAATGCAAGAAAGGAGATAGACTTAATATCTTTCAACTAAATATTAATAATATTATCTTAATTATATTTAGCCAAAGACTTATACTTTATTTTTTTGCGAAATGAATTCTGCATGTATGATCGCCTAGTATAATTGTGAAATGTATCATCTGCAAAATAAATTAGCCAAAAGCACTATGCATGATCCGCCTATTCTAGGTTAGATCCTATAATATATAGCTATTATAGTGAAGTATTTCAGGAAGATTAATAAAGCGATCTTGGAGATTCTTGATTCCTAAATACTATAATTACGGCTTTGAAAATTTCTATGCAACAGTTATCCAGCGAGCTTATAGGAATTAAAAGAAAAAACCTAAATTTTTGGCAAAATGGATTTGGGAGGCGGTGAGAAATGATGGTACTCCTAATGATAAAAAGTATTTAGGTATAACTTCTTGCATTCCTTATATTGACTGGGAATTTAAGAAGAAAAATCAATTATATGTAAGATTAGCTAATGTAACATATGATATTGTTTTTAAAATATTATACCAGCGAGGCTATATAATCATTAGAGGTTCAGATTGGACTAACCAGTTAAAGTGGCTACAGAATCCTGAATATTATCATATTGATAAAGATAACATTGAATATCTCATTAGAGTTACAGAATGTGAGAAATATAAGGCTAATTCATGGAGTATAAAATCAATCTGTGAGCGTCTTGGAATATAAATTCTTACACCTCTAGCAGTGAAATTGGCCAAAGGTGTATCACCAGTGACATCTATAAATTTTATTTTTTTGCAAAATGAGTAGCTATATAATCTGCATGCATAATCGCCTAGTATACCTAATTGGTCGAAGGCGTTATGTATCACCTGCCAAATTTTCCAGATCAGTCCTTGACCCAGATACCGAATATTATCTTAATAAAATAATATATTGTCCAGCCACAATGCATGTATGCATGTGTGACACAATAAACACGTTTTGCGATTCTCGTTAAAGTGTATATGATATAATAAGTGATACACTGCAAATCATCTATAGCTCTGTGTGACTGCTTGTGTGATGCCCCTTGATCTATCGATCTGTATGGTGTAGTATTTCGCAAAATCAGATTAGATCGAATTTTATCCAAATCTGATCTGATCTGATTTTCATTTTTCAGGATCCAAATCTGATCTGAATTTGACAGATCCGTTGAAATCCAGATCTGATCCGAATCTGACGGATTGAATCTCAAATCCAGATCTGGCGGATTGATTTAAGTCCAAATCCGATCTGATCTGAATCTGAAAGTATTATTGAAAAAACAAATTTTCAGTTCTAAAAGAGATCCGAAAATGTTTCTTTTCAATGAAAAGAACCTTTTCAGCTCTAAAAGAGTTCTGAAAAGTCATTCCTTTTCATTGAAAGGAACCTTTTCAGCTCTAAAGAGTTC